TAAACAGGACTATTTATGAAATTTGTAATGAAAAGATGGAACTGGTAAAAAAAATGCAGAATTCTTTGTTTAATTTCAGTGTATGAACTAATTGAGTTACAAACACTCAAGTCAACTGCTCCAAAGGATATAGAATATTTTGAAGCAAATGAACACCATTATCTGGTTATTGCAAATGCCTTTGGTACAGATGAATCCCATTCTATAATATATTGGTGGGCTGGTAAGTGATAATTGCTGAATGAAAATGGATCAACCAATAAAACGTGGTATTTGAAGAAGTTGCGTTAATGTACGATGCACAAGAACGTTAATTTCAGTATTTTGTGCATAATATTGTTATACTGTAGAATACTTTTATTTCTGCTTGGAATTTATTTTCTCTATTTTTGCTGAAGTATGCTTCAGTTAAAATAAAATCCAGTGAATGTACTTTTACCTATTTCACATTAAATTCATCAGTGAAAAACAAATATACAAAAAAGTGAAAATTAATTCCAAGTTTTACAGTAATATGCAGCCTAATGCTGTCTGCACCATGATATCAACACATTTACAACTCTCATATTGTCTCAACTCTCACTTTGCATATTAAATCCTGATTTGGCTTCACCACCTGCAGCTTTTTCAATGTATGATATGACACTGTTGTCGGAGCTTTACAACATTTCACGAGCCTCGACAATTTTTTTTAAATATTTTTCAGGAAGTGGATTTGTGGAATATCAACGTATTGCCACTTTTAATGCTACAGCTATAGAAAGCATTAGAATGCCCAATGGGGAAGTCATAATTGCCATTGCCAATTCTGAAGTGAGTCAAGTTTAACTTGAAACTGTTTTGTTAGAACATTTTGATGCTGATATCTATTGTCCCAATAGCGATTTAGTAACATAGCATTTAACCTAATGTTTTTCACTCAACGTCGGAGAATCTAGGTTTACTTGTGTGTGGGTGCATTTCAGCTGACTTGAAAGTGAAAAGTTATTTTCTGATTCTCTACTCAACATCCAATCTGTAGTCACTAAGTTTTCAGTCAGTATGTTTTAATTGCATGTAAAAAATGGGAATGAGAGTATTGTGAAGTTAGTCTTGAAGGAAAAGTAAGGTTTTGCTAGTATCGTTTTTGGCTAGATTTAACATTACCAAGTTTTTATATGTCTCGCATTGTACCTTTTTAAAACAAACATCTAATAAGTTGTTCTTTTTGCAGGATGTTGGTACAGTTTTCTATAATGTAGACCAAAGTGGTATGTTTGTGCCAAGTACTGTGCAAGGATTGGGAACTAATTTTAGTAATCCAGAGTTCACAGATCTTCAAGAGTTCACAATTGGAAATTCTTTTTATTTGGCTGTATCTACTATGGGCGTTTTTGAACTTGTATTTGATTCTCAAGTAGGTGGGTATACTCGGTAGTTCATACTATTATCTGAGATAGTTTACCTTGTGTGTATCATTTAATTGGACTGAAATTCAACGCAACTGTAGAAAGAACTCCCATGTGCTTTTGAGTATTGGCGAAATATGAAGTAAAAATAAATACAATTGAGATTTTGAGCTTGTAAGCAAGTCAAATAAATTGCAGCTATTGTAGGTTTGCTAATCATGTCTGAGCATTGTGTACCAAGTTTCAATGATTGGTTCTGGAAATAATAGTGGAACAGACATGTACTCGTATAAACATGTATGTACGTGCAGGATCATACAGACAGGATTGTGCTCCTTGCTGAAAAAGACATTTTTTTTATTCAATGTTCTTACACGTGCCTAGACTAAATAAAATTAAACGTCCTGCATGCATTATACATATCTTGGCTGTTCAGATGGCTTTTGGATTCAAAATGGCTGACTGGCAGTCATTTTTTTTAATGAATTTGGTTCTAGGGCCATATCTGACATTCTTTGATAATGTTCATAATTTGTATATTCATTATACATAGTGTCGTACATATACAGATGTGTTTAAAATGGCTTACCATAATTATTGAGCTTCTAGATCGATTTATGACATTTTTATGTTCCAACTATATTACTATAAACAAACTGTATTAAATTTTATAACTAATTTTACACTTTTTGTTGGTATACAATTGATAAATAACAGTATTTTTTCTAATATGCTTTTATTTTCAGTTCTGCCATCACCTAAGCCGATATTGACCTGTTTAGCTGATGTCATTGCTAATCTAACAGCCCAAATGATGGCAGTAGCACAGTTGCAAGAGAGACTGAATAACAGATTGAGCCTGTCCATGGAGCAAACAGTAGATGTTCCAGTAGTCTTTAATGGTAAAATTTGACATTTCTTCAATAGTTGGCTGTCATTCTGAGGATTGTCAGTTACGAGTGTCTGATCCTCTCGCTCTTACTGGGCTGTGGCTATCATTCTAAAATGTTCTAGCACAAATATTTTACTGGCACGTCCCTAAATTTCATAAATATTGCCAGAGCTAATACTTGTCGTCATAATGAAATCTCTTGGTCAATCTTAACCAGTAAATGTGTTTTGAGTATCACCATCAGTTTGTTTCTATGCAAAAATTGGGGGTGGTGGTGTGATTACCAGCTTGCAAAATTTGTTCATTGGTTCCCGGTTTTGATGAACTATTGACCCGTATGCAAACAAAATTGCAATGTTTTTACAATGGAGAACATAAATGTGTAAGATAATGGTGCATCTTGAAACTTGGGCGCTATAGTTAACTTTTTAATTTTTTAAATTTTCATCAGTGGAAAATTGTTTTTTTTTTATTAAAAAATGCATGCTGTAACAAGTGAAATCTTTCTCTAAACTATATTTTGAAAATTTAGTTTCTAATCATCAGTATATGCATACCAATTCATTGTGTGGACTTCCCAAGATAACACTTTAATACTGCACTGGATATTCAGTGACTTGTGGGAAAACCAGTGCCACTATAAATATTTGGGCCTGAATGATTTTAAAATTTTTAAACCACTGGCCTGACATATTTAATTTTAAGTGTCTTCTTGAGAATTTTCTTGCATCTGACGTGTCATACTTAAATTAAAGTGTTTTTTTTTTTTTCGAGAAGTTCAGAAAAGGGTCAATTGACAATTCAGAGGTTCCAGGAGATGCTAGTTTTCCAATATATACAATTGGAAGTTATCTCCCATAATGCATTACATATATACACCGTCCCTCGTGTTGAGGGACGGTGATGTATATGAGCAGTATTAAAATGCTCAGTAGTGCAAATTTTGTATTTGCTTAATGACATGCATACTTAATAAATTCTTGAATGAATTTTACTCAAAAGGGCATTTATCCTATTAATTGCGTGTTTTTGTGAATTTTGCTAAAACAAAACTTGTATACTGATCATGCAGTTGAAAATATGTAAATTTCTCTACATGGCTGCAGTTACTTCTAGGGACTGATAATTGTAATAATTTTATCCATTGCACATTGATGTTTATTTACTAATACATAATTATTTTGCAGTGTCTGTGACGTCACAGAAAAACTTTACAACTGAAGACCTTGTACTTGATAATGACAACAGATTTGACTTGGATGATTCATTAGAGCCAGTAAATCGTCGTGATGTAAAAAAAAATCTGACAGACATTCTGAATGACCTTGATGAATATACCAAGGAATCTAAACAAGTCGTGATGGTATCTAAAGTGCAAGATATTGGAGGTAAACGGCAACAATTTGAAAAATAAAAATATTTTCATTCTTGCAATAAATGATGCAACATTTGTGAGGATATTTCTGTATCATTATTGCTGGGAAACTATTGAGCAGCTTTGTTCATTGTTGGAAGGGGAGGATGGGGTGGGTGAATTGCATGCACTTTTTTTATCATAACTGATAATGAAGTTTCATTCTAGTAACAATTTTGGAAAGTGTTGAATTAGTATGAAATAATTTTACATGGTTGTGTATTGACGGCAAATAGTTTTGTTATTGACCACCTGATTTTTAGTCCCCGTTCAGACGTAGTCCGAAAACGGGGACTTGTGTTTTGCCCTGTGTGCGTCCGTGCGTCCGTGATCACCTGTATCTCGAACATGCATTGACCGATTAAGTTCAAACTTTACACATTATATGGGACATGTGCACATGCATTTTTTTCATGATCCGATTAACGATAGCTGAATAGCGGCCATTTTAAGGCCAAAAATGCATCAAAATCGCATTTTTTCACCATTCCGGACCTGGATCTCAGTTATGCATGGACGGATTTTGTTCAAATTTGGTACATACATTAAACATAATAGGACCTTGATGCACGTCATTTTTTTTTTTTTTTTGGATCGGAATTCAGTTCTGGATCTGTATCCGAGACATGTCTGGATTGATCAAGTTCAAACTTCACACACATATGGTACATTGTACATCATGTCACAAATAGATGTGTGCATTTGTTTCATGATCCGCTTAACAATAGCTGAATGATGGCCATTTTAAGGCCGAAAATGCATCAAAATCGCGCATTTTCACAATTCCGGAACCGGTCATGCATGGATGGATTTTGTTCAGATTTAGTACAATGTGTTGTACATATACAGGTGCATTTCGGTCATGATCTGCTTTGAATGTATGTCACTCAAATATGAACGGAACGGGGACCTGTCATTGACAATGACTTGTTTTCTTTTGTCTTGAATTGATGACATCGCCTAAACCTTTGTCAATCCTTCTTTTCAGGTCGCAAGACATTTAATGAATCTGTTGAAGTTGTAGACACACTTAATGTGGCTGATCTCTACATTGAAAATGGATTAATTAGTGGTGTTGATGTCGTTAAAATAAACAACACTGCAGTATGGCGAAATGCTGATCAAACAATTACTGGCAATACAACATTTTATAACAATGTCAGCATCAACTCTAATATAACTTTATATGGACTGTTAAACAATGTTGACTTTCCTGGTGAGTAAACAAGAGCATGTGTGCAAGTAAGATAAACTATATACACTAAAAGACAGTGTCTGAAACTGATATGTTACCACAACATGGCCAGATAAAATATAACTAGGTCTCTCGAAATCAGCATTCCTTGTTACTGTCAAATGACTAATTTCCGCTGGGTTTAAATGTCGCCGATTTACCATTTGAGGCATATTCAGTAGGTTTTAAATTAACGGTTTTGTTATTTAGATAATGTGTTCTATGCTAAATTTCACATTCACTGGGTTTTAATTTGGCACATTTTTCCAGTCAGCGAAATAAGGAAAATTAAAGCCCAGTGAATAATTAACCCCTTTACAGTACTGTGCAGTTCGAAATCAAAACTGGTACATGGAGCATCATGATTAATTCTTGAAAACTACCAGCCAGATTGTTTATGATGTCTGATGCATCTTAAATTTCACAAAGTAATAATATCAATGCTACACATCTGTAATTTTGCTCATTCATAATTGGGCATATTTTCAAATTGAAAAATTAACTTGAAAATGGCATTTTTTACCAACTAAATGGCAAAAACTTAATTTGCTCTAATACAAAACTAAAATTTGAAGTTGGCCACCAAGATGGAGTGCCACCCCAAAACAACTCCTTTATCTTTTGGCGAACTTTGAACCTGTTATGTACATTGTATAAGAAAAATCCCACCCACAAGAAGTGGGTCAAAAAATACAACATGCATTACAAATGATCTGGAAAATTATTTTGAGACTCCTAATTTCCACATAAACAGAACGGTGCTTTGAAACTCTTCAATTTGAGATTTTACCAGTAAAGGCGTATACGTGGCTGATATATTATAGGATTAGTGGTCTGTCACCACTTCAGAGAATGTTTTTGGACGATTGCAACATAATTTAATTGTAACTACCGACTGGCTAAAGATTTAGTGAAACCATACGAAATAGAAGACTTGTAAATTTATAAATATAGTAATTAAATGCAGGGAAATTTGTTCTTGCATGTATCCATGTCAAATTTAATTGAGCAGTCTGCTCAGAAATTACCTAACTTATCCAAATTATAACTGTTGCTTGTTACTATGTTGGAATTGCAAGTTAAATTGTATCGCTTTTTGGCGTTTCCAGGAAATGTTCTATTAAATCATGGAGATCAGAACATTACTGGTAATATAACTTTCGAGTCTGACGTCAATTTCGAAAGTAAGATTACCATATACAACCTGAATGGCATCAATTTATCCAGTGAGCTCGTGACTACATTTGGTGAACAAGTCATCCATGGCAACAAGACTATAGAAAGCGATATTACAGTCAGCGGAAATGTGTTGCTTCCAAATGGAACAAGTATAAATGGGGTAAGAATATTGTAAAAAAATGCATCCCGGTAAGTTGAATAGTTTAATAGCATCCGAGAGGAGTGTTCAGGTTGTTTCCTCTCCAGTGGGGAGAGGGTGGGGCATACCTATGCCGCAAAAACATTACAAGATCGAATTTGTCTACATTGCGATAAGCATGAGGAACATTTACTTGTAGTTTGTTTTGTTACTCTCGTACAATTCTCCCAAAAGAAATCAAAACTAATGAAAAATTTCAATTTATAATGAAAATAAGACAGAACTTCAATTAAGCATGTTGCACAATTTATCTTCATGGCATTCCAACATTGCATAAACGTGCAATTGTTAAATTCTTACCAACTTGTTATATTTTATTTTATGTATTAATATCTCTATTGCTTTTTACTGAAAGAAATTTTTCTGAAGATGTAATAAACTATAATTTTTATGTTCATGTCTCAATTTTATATTTTTCACAGGTTGATCCATCAGAATTTGTAAAGACTGCTGTAAGCCTAGCGGAGGATGGACAAATAAACGGGAAAATAAATTTTTTCAGAGACTTGGATATTCAAAATGATTTACTTGTAACTGGTTTGATCAACAATGTGGATATAGGAGATCTGGCTGCAGAAGTGATTTATAAACACAAGGAATACCAAACTGTGACGGGTATGTTGCTATTGCTCCAGTCACAAGTTTTTATTTTTAGTTCCACTGTCATTGTAGATGACAGAGCGGAGCTGTTTGGATAGATGATTGTCTGCCATTTTCTTGAAAACTACCAGCTGAACTGTTTTGATACTTAGTCTGTAGATATACATTTATCGGGTGGACCTCTATAAGATTTGTTCATTTTTGACGATATCTTCAATTCTTTACTTTTGGCAAATATTTTTGTCAATTTTTGTAAAAAAGTAATGCTATTTTTGACTTCCTCTTGAACACTCCCAACATGATTGATTTAATATTTGAGATGTACATTATTTGTGTGAACAATTTGTTCTTTACTTGGCTACCAAAATGTTCTTGTAGGACACCAAAGCTACATGTATTTCAATCATCGGGTCACTTGTTTGATCAAAGTTTTTCAGGCCATTTTGTGACTTGAAAATTACTTGCTTTTGTGTTGTAACCATTGGTGGCTGTTCAGGGATTAGATTACTTGAACATAATTTTTTGCTGTTCATTTACTATTTTACAATGCACATTTTCCTAAACCTCAGAACTACACATTTTTTTTTTATGTCCTGTATTTAAAATTTGTGTATACTTAGCAGTCAGACAGGATTGATCATGTCCCTAACCACTGCATCTTGCCCTGGTATGAGTAAACGCAGTCGTAAAGGCACCATGCCCAGGTTTATATGGGAGAAATAAAATCCAACACCTCATTAGTAATAGATCCCAAATAAAACAACTATGAATTATCATTAATTACAGCTCGAAAAGATTTCCTGAATAATGTTTATGTGAAAAATGATATTACTGGAAATGGTACCATAAATGGTATAGACATCTCTGAAGACCTTGTATATTTGAACACAGATCAGGATATTCTCGGCAAAGTTACTATATCTGGTGATGGAAACTTTACAAGTATTACATGTGATTTGGTTAATGGTGTGGATTTGTCTCTAGAGGCGATATTAGTGTCTGGTGCACAAACAATGTCAGGTGTGTGTTTTTTTTACATCTTCCAAATATCAAGCATGTTTAATGGACTTGGACAGGAAATTGTTTATGAACTTAGAAGACATTTATGTTATTTACCATCATTCTAGTATAGATACTTCGCCAAACTTGAAGCAAGCATTATGACATTAGTTATCTTGGCCATGTGATTTTAACAGGGGATGACTATTTCTCGGGATTCTTACAAATGTATACCAAATTGCCCAAAGTACAACATGAATAAAGAGCTCAACAAACGGAACACTTTTGACTTTGAGGTAAATGCACTGGGTCAAAATATCATTGGGAGATTTGGAAGGAAAATATACTTGTTCTGTAAAACACAATACAGAAGCTAATAAGTGTAAAATAAGAATTATCTAGTAGGTACATTTATTTGGACAGAAAAGTCAGGTGATTTATTTAAATCAGTTTTAGATAGTTGGAGAATAAATGATGGTGTTACTTAAGCTAAATCAAACATAAGATATAAATAGTATTATCAATTCACTAACGCGTATTTTAGTTAGCACTGGCGAGTCCTGTTTTATGGCTATATAAAGATAGAATAAAATAAACTACACTAAGATACAGTAAAGTTAATCAACTACACAGAATGCTAAAAAAAGCTAAATATTACAAACTCGCAAAAGATCACAATGAACTTGTATGGTACAATAGACTGGCCAATATTGTTAAGAGGTAAAAAAATTATATTAAGTCATAATTATCCTGGAAAGAATATTTCTAATTTTGGTAGTTGCTCACATCTCATTTGTATAATATTAAAAATAACTCCCATGTTAATACACTCTCATTTATTTGATACAATGGTAATGCCAGTTTGTTTATATGGCAGTGAAGTTTGGGAGCCTATAACATTAACAAACTGGGTCAAAATGGTATCTTGAAGTCATTATTAAATGAGAGCAGGGATTGAGAAAATGCTCGGGGGGGGGGGAGGATTTGTCATAAAATTACTACCGGTAATGTATGAGGAGAGTTGGGTAAATGCCCAATAGTTAAATAGTATATGCAAGTCAGTTTACCAATTGAACAAAGAGTTACAAAAACATTTCACAAACTACGTGAATATGCAAAATCTGTGATGAAAAGCATTACATAATGTAATGCATCACCGGTAATGCTAAAATTTATTCGACAAAATTAGCTTTCCATAGTTTGATAAACTTAATGCTGAATGAAAGTTCATATATTTAAGTGCTTTAGACACTTGTTCTTTTGCCAAATAAGTATATTCTATTTTGAAACTAGTTGATAGTTCCGTTTAGTGACCATATTGCTATATAAACTAGTGTTAATAAATTAATTATATGCTTCTCAAGCAGATGTCTAAACCAATCGCATTAAAACTTTGTTAGTCCCTGTTCGGACGAAGTCCGAAAACGGGGACTTATAATTCGGTCTCTGTGCGTCCGTCCAGAGTCGTATCTCAGAATCCCTTGGATCGATTCCGTTCATTTTTTGCATGTGCCTAGTACTTTATGTGGGACATATGCACATGCAGTGGTTTAGCGATTGGATTCAAAATGGCTGACTGGCAGGCATCTTGTTTTTGTTTTTTTATGCGGTATCTTGGGCGTGCTCTGTTAGTTTTCATTCAAATTTGGCACATACATGTACTTTATACAGGTTAGGATGCATGTTCATGACAATTTGTTTCAAAATCTGGTCAAGGATGGCAGATTGACAGCCATCTCACTTTTTGGCCTTACTACTATATTTCCACAATTTATGTACCATTTTCATTCGTATTTGGCACGTACATCATACATATCAGTGTTTCATAATCAGATCAAAGATGGCTGAATAATGGCCGTTTTTATTTTGGCCATATTACTATGACACGAAACGCGTGTTTTGATGTAAATAAACAATCTGTTGTATACGCCACTTGGAACTCAAGTTTCAAGGACACACTCGCGAAAACCCCTCCGCTTTAATATGATGAGCACAAAGAGAACTTAATGGGGACTGTGTCATTTTCAATGACTTGTTTATCATGCCTCTTGATTTGTAATCATATCAAGATGATTTAATCGTTGCCAATTGGTGCAGAAAACTGGGTTGCATATTAACGGGTTCCGTTAAAACATTAGACATTGTGGAACCTGGTGTTTTATTTTTAAAGTCTGGTAGCCATTTTGTTTTAATGAATGCTTTTCCAGGGCCAAAAAATCATTATTCAAGTTACTAATCACATGTCATAAATATGCACTGATACTTGATATCAGAGTTTTATTCAAAAGTAATCTTTAGTTACTTCTGTGCAATGTCTTCAAAACTATTAAAATATAATTCTTTTTTTCTTTCAGGTGCAAAGAGTTTCAAAAATGGATTCACTGTTTCTGGTGACATTATCATGTCTCCCCTTGCTACAGTTGATCAGGTTGATATTGACGTGTTCAACTCAACAGTCATGAAGTTGACAGAACCAGCGTCTTTAGAAGGGATAAAAACATTCAAAAACAACGTCACAGGTGAATAAGAGTTATCAAAAATGCTCAACAATTCTGAAGCAATGTCATTGTCACTTTCGCAGTATTTTTTCAAATTTGCCCAACTTGTAAAAAGAATTTGCACTTGCTGAAAATTCCCAACCTAAGCCATTGTGTCAACACAGGTGGCGCTATTCAGCACAGACCTGTGTCTTATGACGCATAACTAGCCTCTGAAGGCTAAATATCCACCCGCTACCATTTTTCTCAGAGTTTCTGCCGCGGAACTATATAAAAGTATTTTTCTTTTGAACACATCCTCCCCCGATTTTTAGCAAGATTTAATCTTTAATGAGTTGATCAATTAAAACTACACACAACACTCATCAGAATATCTTATTTTATTAACATTAAAATGCATGTAAATTGGGAGGTCAAAGGTCTAATTTTTCTCAATATTGCATTGACACGCAGATTGCCGCAAACCAATCGAATAGTGCCACCTGTGTTGACACAAAGTGGAAATAGTTCCGACCACTTTTCTCATAGTTCCATGCGCGGTACGTGTCAGATCGGTTGGTTTGCGGCAATCTGCGTGTCAATGAACCTAAGCACTAGGCCAAGTTCAACATTCAGAAATGGTAGTCACATATACAAATTTTTCATGATCATTCACACCATTTTTGGTGTGTCCATTGATCCTATGGCGATAGATAATTTGATTAATTAACTGCCTTTGTCTCTCAGTTAATGGTTCTGTAGTGCTTTCTGACATTTTGAATGGTCTGAATATTAGCTTTGCAATGGATGATGTCTTGACTAAGTCAACTGATCAGATAATCAATGTACCTGTTGATTTAATTGGAGACTTTGTTTTCATGGGTAATTTGAATACAAGTAGATTTGATAACCTGCACATGGATGACTTCATTCTACTGGAAGCACCAGGTCAAATTGAAGGTAATTATACTCAAATTATGCATTTACGGTAAGTATATGTATGTATTCTCGTACATGTTAAATTACTCCAGAGGTAAATGTAATTGATAGCGTCTGATAGTAACCGAATGGAATATATGGTGGAGGAATATTTTTATCAAAAGTAGAACAGAGTGAAAGAATTATTACTGAAATAATGAATATATCGTTGCATGCCATTAGTGTGAGATGGCAATCACTTTGTATATGCTGTATGGCATTTCTTGATTTGCTAGGTTTTGTGTAATAAACTTTCTGAGCAACTGAAAAATGCATGATCTTGCCAACATAAATTTTCTTCCACCATACAAGTCCTAGAAATGTTCCCTTCTCACCCTCGGGCGGGGGTGTATAAAAAAAATACTGAAGTTGCATAATTAAATTGATTTTCAAGGATTTATAACATTTAAGTCTTCATTTGTTCTCAGGTTTCAAAAACTTTACAGATCATGTTAACATTGTGGGTGATTTAGATGTGGACAGTGAAGTCAAGATTAATGGTATTGACTTATCTGCATTAGACAATAGTGTAAGTTCACGCCTTCTTGCAACGAGTTTCAATGAATATTCATTTTGGTGGTCATGGTAACCATGTCTACATTGCAGTGTTTGCATTGTCGGTAAAAGTCAGATACTCTTAAAGGCCCAATTCACTTGCCTCCCCCCTGCCCCCCTGGGCAAGTGTGAATTGGAGGTGTGGCTATGCAAATAAGTGTTAATCACTTGCATAGCCTATGAAGCATCCTTTTTCAGCAGTTCAACATCACGTTACTTTGATTGACAGCAGTTAATTATTCAAGATTAGTAGCCAGTCCCTTTTCCCGGTTCGTGTTTTTGACTTTTATCTGCCAAAATCTCAACTAGTACACTATATATTGTCATAAATACTACAGTCACTGCTGTGATATTCATTGTCACATCCATCCACTTTTGCACAACATAATCGACCTGTAAAAACGCATTTTTACCGCAGCTTGGCTGGAGCAGTTTACTACAGTGTGACAAGCAAGGAAATGATCCCTATTGTTTAGAAGTGTTTTTATAGTATACCTGGGCCTTTAAACAAGATGATAAACATTGGCCAGAAATTTGCCAGCATCTTATTGCATATTAGGTCAACAAATAAACTCTGTCGTGAATGGTGACTCTTTAATGGCTGTCACTATAAGACATTTGAAATTTGATTGGTAACTACAAAAAAAATCTGGAAGTGAAACTACATTGATCTGTCAGGCATGTGTTGGGTTTGGAGCACTGCAGAGGGTACAACTCGTGTGACCTTGTCGGGTTAATTGCTTAATATATCACTGCTATGAGTGGGTCAGAATCACTAATTTTTTGATACTAAGGAGCATTTTTTTATATTGCCTTGTACAATGTGTTTATCGTGATGGTCTTGTTACCAGGTTGTGAAGAAAGAAGGAAATCAAACTATTCTCGGAAACATTGAGTTCTCTGATTCAATTAGTGTTGATGAATCAATTGAAGCTTTCAGTGTAAATGGCTTTGATATACTGCAGGACTTGGTCAGATTAGATGACCAACAAACAGTAGCAGGTAAGAACTACCCTATAAATGTGTATACATTCAAAGATTTAATTTGTACAGTGTTGTGTATAAAATAAATGTTTGGTGAAATGGCTATCTACAAAAGTTTTAAGTTTGAGGACAGCGGTCCTGCTGAAAGTAATTTGTAGTGTCGTTTACTGATGCTAGTCTGGTGTGCTCGCTGTTAAAATTACCAGGGGATTAGGAGGCAAGTTTGAGATCACCTGTAATAGGCATTCAATAATTTTATTACCGGTAATGGTAATCTTGTGTATACGAAACAATATATATTGTCTAACTTGGTATCATGTATTTGTATCTGATCTATATACTGGTTGTTTGTATACATTTTCTAGTTGATCCTTGTGCAGAAATTATTGAATTTATTGCATCCTTGGAAAGTTTCCATTGGTTAACAGCAATGAAATGTTTGTGATACAATACACAATACTAAAGCTTTTCCTGGATAAGGTTCTCGGTGAAGTAAATGCAATGAAGAATTCTTTGATTTTCTGTCTCCTTTTTTTTACTCAAAGGTCAGAAAACATTGCGTTCTAACCCTGTGTTCATTATGGGTAATCTGAATGTGACTGAAACCTATGTAGACACTATAAACGATGTAAATATCACTCTACTAAATCAAGAAGCTGTTCTAGTTGATGGAAGTCACATCATAGAGGGAAGCAAAGTCTTTATTGGCACTTTAGAAGGCAAGTAAATTGTTTCTTCATATCAATAGTTAGAGCTGGTTTTTAATTTAAGGGAACTGAAAGAAGCAATAGCTTTAAATATCAATCTTCTGATTTATATTTAATATTTCATTTCCTGTGTAACTACAATCACACTTGGCATGTATGCTATATACATATGTTGTACCTTAAAATCATGTGCGAATGGAAAGATGGCCATTTTTTTTGGGGGGGTGCCATCTATCAAAATCTAGTTTGGTCAAGCGAATCTTGAACATTAGCGAGTCTTTCTATGCTGCATTTCCAACTTTTAAACTTTTATTTCTGTGCAGTCACTGGATTCCTAGATGTAAATGGCCTTGTAGATGGTGTGAATACAACTGAATTTACCGAGAATGTGGTCATGCTCAGTGGTATGCAAACTATATATGGTAAGTATGCTATACATCTTTTGGCTTAAAGGAAAAGTCAAGGCTAACATAAAACGCCCAGATAAAAAAGCTCTGCAAATGTAAAAACTTGCAATTTAGTTTTTTTATATCGCTTTTCATTCTCTAGATATTCAACTTTTCATCAGTATTATGTAGTCCACCATCTTGATTCTTTAGAACATCACATATCCACTGTTGCCGAACATGAATATAAAATGGTTGGAAATATTAGAACTGAAAATATTCATCTTTGTGTTTCTACCAAATCCTTAATTGTTCTTGTATTGTTTACAATTTATCTTTGCGAGTAGGTTTTACAAGTGATTAATAACCTGTTGACCACAGAAAGGGGGACAAGTGTCATTAACTAAAAAATCAAAAAATTGTTTTTTTGGCAATATCTTTACTGTTTGTGTATTTGTAACATTCTAATTTAAGTAATATGCACACCTAAAATTTGAACGAATTACTAATACTAAATCAGTATTTCATGCGTTGTATAGAATTTTCTCAGTGTTTCACACAGTGGATGTCAATTCTTTTGCTGAAGAACCAAGACGGCAAACTACATAATACTGATAAAAAGTTGAATATCTAGAGAATGAAGTTATACAAAAACTGTAAATTGCATTCTTCTACATTAGTGGGAGCATTGGTTGCCTTGACTTGGTGTTTAATATTGCTATTATGGTTATGTACTGACCTATGTGTATGCATTAGGAACTGTATTTTGGATATATCTGCCAATCATTCAAACTTCACACGTAATTCTAGGGATACATAGGAATGTCCAAATGGCAGCCATTTAATTGTTAAAATTACATCAGAATTGAACTTTTCTGCCATTCTGGAACCAGATCAGCATCATGAATGAATTTTGTTAAATACACATTGCGGGTTTGTGAAGCATGTCATTGTTTTTCATCAAAATTAAGCATTTCTACTTCAACAAAAAATTGTTGCATTTATTCTAACATTGCTTAGGTGAGAAGAGTTTTATGACAGACGTGTATATGATCAATGTGACGGTTAATGGCACTGTAAATGGTATCAATCTGGAAGAGTTTTGTGTTAGTGTAGTGGACTTGTCTACTGATGATGTCGTCAATGGCGAAAAAACATTCGAGTGAGTATTCACAGTACGGGTTTACATACTGAAAGACAATATTCTTGTTGCTTAAAAAAAAAAATTTTAACATCTGTGGCCATTGTTTCATTTCCTGCAGTGAAGTTGTAGTGAATGGCGACTTGATGCTTGGAGGTTACGTCAATAGCTTAGACCTATCAGAATCTTCTGGGCTGTACTTATCTAAGACAATACCACAGCACATTGATGGGTATAAGGAGTTCTCACAGAATATAACCTTGAGTAAGTGGATAATACAAGTCTTGAGTATTTTTTTTTTATTTTTGGAATTAGGCTTTGAGATGCTGATTACTCTATTACAGTACAAATTTTGTACCAAGATAGTTTTAAATAAAACTTACCGTAGTTGTCAGAATATAAACTCCTCAAGGGAGGGGGACGACAAATTAATGAAAAATTAGAGGGGCTTATAAATGGATAAAAGTTAAAACTTCTTCTGAGCGATAATTTATTCATAAACAAATAGTCGCGTGTACGATACTAGTCTTCATCAACTAGCAACGTCCAAATTAACTAGAGGACAGGCAGTTACCCCGGGATCACTCTTGGGTACGTTTACTAAGTGGAACAGCATTTGACCCTGCGTTTCACGTGAATATTGGGGTAATGAAATTATCGGTATATTCTAAATGAAGTTTCAAATAATCGGGTAAATTACTTGTTGTAAAATGCTGTAAATTTGGAGGGGGGCTTATATAACTATGCTACATACTTCACGGTAATCTCGTGGTACACATTTTTCCTTCTGGAATTGTTTTGTACACTGTACAAACATTTTCTGGGTGCTAGATGTATATTTGTTATTGCACACTATAACAGACTGTCCAGTGATTGCCTTGTCAATAATAAAAGGTGCACCCTAATCTTTATAAAACATGTACTATTAACTTTTGTCAGATGATTTGATGATAGACTCTGGTTTTCTGCTGGATGGTGTTGATATCAACGATATGGCATTAATTGATCAGAATGCAGTGTTTTCTGTTGATGTTTATTTTAACAATACACTGACCATCAACGCTGATATTATAATTGAAGATGGAATCAATGGAGTGGATATAGTTGAGGTAATAAGATGACTAGTTGTAACTTTTGAGGGAAAACTTTATTGATTACCAGTACACATTGGTTGTAGCAGCAGAACAAAATGTTACCTCTGTTTATTCACTTAAGTCTGTAATTTGTTTCCAACTTAACTTTTTGTATACATTGCTCAAAAAACTTGCTTGTAAGTCATCCCTTTATGTCAGTTATTTTTTGTTCCTGAATAGTAGTTATCAACCTTTGTCAAGACTTTGTTACAGCAAGTGAACTGTCTCTGTGACACTAAGTCTATGTTGTAAGCATACAAGTTTATATAACTGATAATAATCGGAGCAATATGTTTATAAATTCACTTGTTAGAAATTAAATTACAAAAATATGTTTGACATTTATTAAGACTGTTATAATACAAAACAGGCCATTCAGTAACGAGTCTTGGTAGATTTAACATAGTTTTATGATCACATCATAGTACAATTTATTTTCTAATGAGACCTATTTATCTGTTGACAGAGCAGATTGTCTATCGTTAATATTTATTTTTTAATCTGTCAGCTGGTTGTCGTACTTGCTACAAAATGTGCTGTGAATGGTTTTCCCTCATATTTGTTAAATTTGTGACAATACTTAAATACAAAATTTTTGACTTTTTGAAAACATCTACCCCAATTGCTTGGACAATTGATGTAGTTTAGATAACTTTAGTTTCCTAATTTTAGTGTAGTCTTAACATGATCATTAAGTATCCCCAAAATTTCTCATTGCTGTGTATAAGGACTTTCATTGCAGATTTTTTTTGTTTTTCCCCAGCTTGACAACACAGCTGTTAAATTGAATACTGGAGAACAGCTGATTTATGATATTAAGTCATTTGGTGATGTTACAATTGACGGTGATTTGGTGGTAAATGGAACCATTAATGCAGTTGATGTTACTGGTATGTGAACTTATTTTGGAGTTTAGACTTGCCATCAGATTGTTTATTGCATTGAGAGTTTATTTTTATTTGCCATCATTGGCACAGAACTACGTTATGTATTGATCTGAGATCAGATGGAGTTGGGTGTGTAAATCTTCTCGAAAGAATCTTGTTCTAAAACTTTTTTTGTGCTCATGTATACAGTATTTATAGCATTTACTATCTGGGAACACTTTATAATTTACTTTTAAATTAAGACTTTCAACTGATTATTTATGTTCTCATTGTATTCGCCAGATCTGGCAGCTCAAGCAGTTTCCAAGACAGCTGGTGATATTTATGTCCATGCTAACACAAATTTCTCTGAACCAGTGCAAATTAATGGTGATGCTTTGTTCATGCATGATATTAATGGCGTTGATTTGCATGCACTTTATGAAGATGCTGTTAACTTACACGATGACCAAGTAAGAATTAGCTGGTATTAATCTGTACATTGATTGCTGATATCAATAACTGTTCAAGATTAAGGCAGAATCTCGGGGCCAAGAACCCCGAATTTTTATTGAATTTTACTCCTTCCCTAGGGGAAAGGGAACGGTCATTAAAGAAATAAACTATGATAAAATCACTAAAATGCTGACAAAATTTGAAAAACAATAGTTGTAGAGAAAAGTTCTGGTGAAAAATTGTTTGTCAGATAAGCGACCTTTTTCTGACTTAAAAAATGTTAGGTTGTCTGTAGGAGTTTGCCTAATTGTGAGGAATTTCACTACAAGCAACTGTGAACATGTTTATGCCTTGCATGAAATGTTAACCATATATTTGTTTGTAACTTTGTAAGGACATTGATGGAGCCAAGATTTTAGTTCACTCGTCTGGTATTTATATGAACAATGTAGAGGTTACTGGTGATGTCAATGGTGATTTCAATGCACATGATGTACATGTTGGAAACTTTGTGAAAGACTTGGTCATGAAATCTACAGACCAAGATATTTACAGCTCGGTGGTATTCAACAGAAGTCTGGTTCTTAACAGCAACCTTATTGTTAATGGTAAGATTGGTTTTATGTGAACCCGGTGTGTATATATGCACATGTTTTAAAGGGGCACCTTCCAGTTAAGCCTAATCTCACAACAAATTTACTTTCTGGGTTAAAATAACAATAGATAACAAAAGATAGAACATTGTAAACATAAACAATAGTGTCCCATGATTCTTTGGGGCAATCCATGGGATTGAGCCGTTCCTCTTTAAGTATGTACATTTACTTGGTTATGGCTAGTGTGTTAACTGCTCATCCAACATTACTTTTTGGACATGCCTTAATTGGCTGATTTTGTTCAGTCGTAGTAATTTACCTAATACATTTGTACATCAACTTGTTTCATT